TTCTCACTCTCTCTCTCTGGGGAGCATACATGCCCCCCCAAATAGAACTAAAAAAAAAAAAAAAGAAGAAGAGGAAAGTTGGTAAGTGCATGTGAAATCCCAGCTCTTGCTGGAGAGCTCACATGGAAAAACCCGAGGCTGCATGGCGAGGAGGGCAGTTCCACTCTGTTCAGGTCAGCGCCGGCCTAGTCAGGCACTGGGCGTGTGAACGAAGCTGTCTCGGGCTTTCATATTAGCTCAGCTGTCACCCAGAATTGAGTGCCTCTGTTCAGTGTCATGTAGAGAAGAGTCACTCAGCAGTGCCTTCCCAGATCCCTGACCTCCTACCCCCAGGAAAGGAGCCGGGTGTGGTGGTGGTACCCACAGCTCCACCTGGGAGGCTGAGGCAGGAGGGCCTCGAAGTGGTGAGACCCTGTCATAAAAATAAATGTGACTTTTTCCCTACCGAGTACAGAGTTGTTTATTCTCCTGTACTGAAGATGCTATTTCAATATTAATATTTTAATATTGTTTATGCATTTGTCGCTCTCAAAAGTGGGAAACAACAAGAAAGCCAGACTTTTCAAGAAAAGTGGGAGAGCGCGCATTTCTTTGTGTAGGGGACAGATGTTCCTGCATGTTTAATGCACAGACAGTCTCCGTGTGGACAGAGCATGACCAAAACACCGGGATGAAACAAAGCACGACAGACATGCAGAAAAGATGCACGAGGAAAAACTGAAATGAAGAAAAGACTGAAGTTTCAACGCATTTTGCATCTGAATGTTGCTGGGAAATGTATTAATAGCTATGTCTTGGGACCAGCAGTTGGCATAATGGCTATGTTGCTGGACTCCCATGTAGTTGACCACAGTTCAAGTCCTGGACCTGGTGGCTTAAACTCACACCGGGTGCATGTGCATGCATGCCCAAGATTCCGAGAGGAGAATGGAGGAGAAGGGATTGCGGATTGGCCATCCCCCCTAGGGGGTGATTTTTTGCTTTCTGTCTCTCTGTCTCTTTCTCTCTGTCTTTCTGGTGAGGGCATGTGGCCTATAGCAAAAACCTCTCAAAAAAAAAAGTTATGTCTTTTTTTTTTTTTGAGAGGTTTTCACTATAGGGCACATGCGCTCGCCAGACAGACAGAGACAGACATAGAGACAGAAAGCGAGAGATCACCCCCCCAGGGGGGGATGGTCACGCCGCAATCCCTTCTCCTCCATTCTCCTCTTGGGATCTTGGGCACGCATGCACATGTGCCCGGCGTGAGTTTTAAGCCACCAGGTCCGGGACGCGAACCGCGGTCAACTACGTGGGAGTCCAGCGACATAGCCATTATGCTAACTGCTGGTTCCCCAAAAAAGTTATGTCTTAAGTGAGAAAATCACCCAGGCCTTAAGACCTTTTACATATGGGGAGTTTATTTATATATATATTTTTTCTATACGGTATGTGTGCATGCCAGAGAGAAGACAGAAAGAGATGGTGAGAGGGAATATGAGAACTTTGGGGGGATGGCCACACTGCAATCCCTTCTCCATTTTCCTCTTAGGATTTTGGGCACGCACACACATTGCTCCAGCATGGTTTTCAAGCCCCAAGTCCAGGATTCAAATGGTAGTCAGTCATGTGGGAGTCCAGCGCCCTAACCACCACGCTACCTGCTGGCCTCACAGATGGGGAGTTTATGAAGAATGTCTATGCGTGCGGCAGAAGTCACATGCCCTGAACAGAGACAGCACTCGCGAACATGAGGCCGGCTGATTTTGCTTGCACGTGGCCAGCACAGCTGAGACTCACAGGCCAAGTCTCCAGGAGAAGTGACATCACATGTCGCGTTCACTGTCACAGCTCGGGAGGGCACTCCATGGGCTGCTCCCTGGATGGCACGTTTATTCATGTCGGTTATGAAGCTTCCATGTGGCCAAAGAACTTCCAGAACATGGGACCCATGACAGGCACAACCTCAGGAAATGACCTTATTTTATTTATTTTTTGGAGAGGTTTTTTCACTATAGGGCACATGCGCTCGCCAGACAGAGAGAGATAGAGAGACAGAAAGCGAGAAATCACCCCCCAGGGGGGATGGTCACGCCGCAATCCCTTCTCCATTCTCCTCTTGGGATCTTGGGCACACATGCACATGCGCCCGGCGTGAGTTTTAAGCTACCGGGTCCAGGACGTGAACCGCGGTCGACTACGTGGGAGTCTAGCAACATAGCCATTACGCTAACTGCTGGTTCCCTCTTTTATTATTATTATTTTTAAAGATTTTGCCGTTGGGTACATGTGCTCATGGGAGAAAGAAGCAAAGAGAGGGCAGTGAGAAATTGCCCCCCAGGGGGAATGGCCGTGCTGGAACTCTCTCTCCTGCTTTCTCTTCTTGGGATTTCGGGTGCACTGCACAACACACCCAGTGTGATTTTCAAGCCCCTGAGTCCAGGAGAACGCCCTGGTTAACCATGTGGGCGTCCAGCACCTTCACCACCATGCCACCTCCTGGCCCTGAAACAACTCTCTTCTTTTTTTCTGCTCACCAGAGAGAGAGACAAAAAGCAAGAAATCACCAGCCGGGGTATGGCCTGGCTGCAACCCCTTCTCCATTCTCCTGGGATCTTGGGCACGCACGTACACGTGCCTGGTGTGAGTTTTAAGCCACTGGGCCTGGGACCCGAACCATTGTCAACTACATGAGAGTTTAGCGACGTAACCATTATGCCAACTGCTGGTCCTGAAACAATTTATTTTTATGTAGTAAGAAAAGTCTTTAAAAAATTGTACGTAGACTGGTCAAAATTAGTGTGAGTGCAGGTGGTAAGTCTGTGATGGTTGGTGTTAACTTGTGACAAAAATGAAATCTCAGGAGGGCTTTGCAAAGACACAGAACGTAAGTCTGTGCCTAGCTTCATTGTCCAGGAATCATTTTGTCCTAAAAAGTTCAAAATGAATCATGTGGGGCCAGCAGATGGTATAGTGGTTAAGGCACTGGACTCCCACATGGCAGACCACAGTTCGAGTCCCAGACCTGGAGGCTTGCTTTCTCACTTTCCCTCTCTCTCTCTCTCTATATATATATATATGTGTGTGTGTGTCTCTCACTGGTCAAATTAAAAATAATAAAATAAATAAAATAAATCTTTAAAAAGATGGATCGTGTCATGAATGTAGTAATTTACGTCATAACCTGGCTGTATACCCGTGGTGCAAACCAGAGAAAGTGCAGGGCTTTGTCTAGTGGTGAAGAGGCACCAATGGAAGTCTGCTCCACTACCCAGTTCAGAGCCTGCATCGCGGTATGCTGCTAAAGCAGGACTTCCAACTGCTGGAAGAAACGGACTTTTTCCTATGGTTTTAAAATTTTTTTAAAGAATTATTTTATTAAACTTTACTTATTCATTTGTGTATTTCAATTTGACCAGAGAAGGACAGATAGAGTAAGAAAGCAAGCTGCTAGGTCCAGGACTCAAACTGCGGTCAGCCACGTGGGAGTTCAGCACCTTTAACCACCACGCCACCTGCCGGCCCCCTTTTCATATCTTCCAACAGAAGATCTGCCACAGTTTAGCAGCAAAGATTGGGTCCAAGACTTAGCTTTTTAGCTGACATTATGACCCATCCTAACATGTTGCATGTTTATCTTAAATTTTAATTTATTTTAATGTTTTTGCCGTAATACTAGGGACTAGCACATGTGCTCACCAGAGAGAGACAGAGATGGTCAGAAGGCGGAGGGGGGAAGCGGTAAGTCACCCTGAGAGGATGCCACGCAGCAATCCCTTCTCCGTTCTCCTCTTGGGATTTTTTTTTTTTTTTTTGGAGGGGGTTTTCGTGGGGGCAGTTTGGAGAGGTTTTTGCTGTAGGGCACGTGCGCTCACCAGAAAGACAGAGAGACAGAAAGAGAGAAACCTCCCCCCCAGGGGGGATGGCCACGCCGCAATCCCTTCTCCTCTATTCTCCTCTCAGGATCTTGGGCACGCATGCACACGTCTCTGGTGTGAGTTTAAGCCACCGGGTCTGGGACTCAAACCACGGTCGACTACGTGGGAACCAGCGACATAGCCATTACATCAACTGTTGGTTCCATCTCCTCTTGGGATTTTGAGTACGCATGCACCTGGCATGATTTTCTTTCTTTTTTTTGAGAGGTTTTTGCCTTAGGGCATGTGTGCTTGTGGGGGATGGAGAAACAGAGACAGTGAGAAGGAAAGTGAGAAGTCACTCCGCAGGGAGGATGGCCACGCTGTAATTCCTTCTTCTCCATTCTCTTCCTGGGATCTTGGTCATGTTTGCACACGCACCTGGCAAGAGTTTCAAGTCACAGGATCCAGGACTCTAACAGTGGCCAGCCATGTGGGAGTCCAGTGAAGTAACCATTATACCACCTGCTGGTCCCCATTATCATTATTTTTTAATACATTGCCTTTCTGGCCCTTGGAGTTATTTAGGTTTATAAATCAGTCCCCTAAAAGAAGTCCTATTCGTCTTATTACTTTTTCGTGTTTTTGTTTGTTTGTTGGTAGACCTTTGCCATAGGGCACGTGCTCTCAGGGAGAGACGGTGAGAAAGAGCATGAGAAACCACTAGGGGGTTTGCTGTGTCACAGCCCTCCTCCTCGCTCTCTCTGGGTGTCGGGCATGAAGTGCACGTGCACACCGCGCCCGGCGCGATCCTCCGGCTTTGGGGTCTGGGACTCTGACTGTGGTCGGCCGTGTGGGAGTCCAGCGCATAAACTCCACACCACCTGCTGGCCCCAGCCCCATTCTTCTTAAAGGCACTCGTGAACCTGGGGTGTGGGCCAGGGAGCTGGCTGGACGATCTAAACCTTTAGGCCCCTCCTGTGACCCTCCCCCTGAGGATGACAGACCTGCCACGGTGACCGTGGGTTCAAGCAGGGTAGCCAGCCCCCTTCCCAGGACAAGAGCTGGGCAGTCTGGCCCTGAGAGACTGCTGGGCTTTTTTTTGTGTGTGGTTGTTTTCATTTTAAACTTTTTTGACATTTCAATGTTGTCGGTCACTTACAGGAGCACTCTGCCTCTTACAGAGATGGGCGTTCCCTGGACATCAAGCCCCCAGGAATGCAGCGGGGTGCTGACTTGTGAGAACACGTAGCAAGCTTCCGGGGGAGGCCTCTGGTTGCCAGCAGAACCTGGAAGAGACATGGGACCCAAAGGTGTTTTCTACTGTGACATTGGGACGTGACTGCTCTGACCACGTTAGTCTAATTACGTAAGTAATATATACTGGGCCAGCAGGTAACATGGTGGTTAAGGCACTGGAGTTCCCACACGGCTGACTGTGGTTCGAGTCCTGGACCTGGCGGCTTGCTTTCTCATTTTGTCTCTTTCTCTGGCGAGTGTCTGTATCGAATTTAAAAGTAATAGGAGTATAGGGCCTAGTGGGTGGCATTGCGGTTAAAGGTGCTGGACTCCCATATGGCCGACCATGGTTCGAGTCTTAGACCTGGCGGCTTGCTTTCTCACTTTCTCTCTCTCTCTTGCTCTGTCCCTCTCTGGTCAAATTAAAATAAATAAATAAAAATTAAATAAAATAATTATTTAAAAAAAATAATGAGGAGCCAGCAAGTGGCATGATGGTTAAGGCACTGACTCAAACCACAGTCGGCCATGTGGGAATCCAGCACTCTTAACCACTGTGCCACCTGCCGGCCCCAGGCTGAGAGGATTTGAGGTCCATGTCTCCTTATCGCAGCAAAGAACTTAGGCACAGGAGATAAGCTGGGCACACTGTGTTTTCTAGAGAGCTGGGATTTTTTTTTTTTTTTGAGAGATTTTCACTGTAGGGTGCGTGCGCTTGCCAGACAGACAGAGAGAGACATAGAGACAGAAAGCAAGAAATCACCCCCCA